TACAATAAGCTTAAGTGATGTTAATTTTTAACAACAAAAATATGACAAAATGGGATTTGTGCTGTTCTGCCTCATAGGAAGCAGAAGCTTTTGCTTTGTATCACAAAGCTTTGGATCTTCAGAAACATGACCGATTTGAAGAGTCTGCTAAGGCTTACCATGAGCTGTTGGAAATTCGTCTTCTGCGAGAGGTCAGTGAATTATCTGGAGTCAAAGTAAAAAAGTCGCACATTTATCACACTTTGTATCACTCTAATGCATCTTGGTTTACTCAAAAATATCGTTGCTTGTCACATGTCAGGTGGTTTGCAGCAGTTCCGTGTGTCTTGGGTATATTGTTTCTGTTTATCATTTGCAGGCAGTTCTCTCTGGTGATGAGAAGGAGGGGTTAAAACACCCAGGCTTAATGTTAAAATATTCCACATATAAAAACCTAGCCCAGCTGGCAGCCCAACGGGATGACCTAGAAACAGCCATGGAGTTTTACTTGGAGGTACAGTAAAGTTGGAGTAGAATAAATATCTATTTACAGCCATTGCTCAGCTTTTATAATTTTTATGCATATTTTGTGCATTTTCTTTTTTATGGTTGTAGTTCTGATATGCATATTTTCTGTATCTTTATGTATTATATATGGTATGATTTGCTCACCACTTCAACCCTAGAGAGCAATAAATCTCTAGGGTTCCCCACTGTTATAAATCTAGACTCAGCAAAAATAATGCAGGGAAATATGCATGAATATGTACATACTATGTATACATGCAGTAATGCTGAATATTACCATGCCTATACAGTGTGATATTTGCTGTATTTTGTAGGCTGTAATGCTGGACTCCACAGATGTCAATCTGTGGTATAAAATAGGTCGTGTGGCAATAAAACTAGTCCGTCTGCCACTGGCACGTCATGCTTTTGAAGAAGGACTTCGGTGTAATCCTGATCACTGGCCTTGCTTAGATAATCTCATCACTGTCCTGTACACACTCAGTGACTACACAAGTAAGTAAAGCTAACTTTTAAATACCTTTTCTGAAAACATGCACGTAAGTGTCAGTAAAATTTAGACAAAACTAAAAAGACAAAATAAAAGCAAAGTATATCATAAACATCAAATGTATTGAAATTATACAGTGGTGTTATATGTAAGTTGATTTCATGATAAAGGATGTCAATCTGTAGCTGTTTTTAATTACAATAAAACAAAACTATCATCTGTGTAGTACTGGTTTTTACTGAGAAACATCACTGGGCTCAGTACTGTAAAACAGTTCATCTTATTTTGTCCTTAAAATGGGATTATGATACTTTAAAAGTAATGGAAAGAGAACTAATTAAAAGCTTATAATAAATGAAGTGCACAAGGGAGAAGAAGGGGAATGAACACTGTCAGACTCCTGTATCCAGCCAAGAGTGAGTTTAAATGGAGAATTTTTGGCAAAAGATGTGCTTTCTTGGTGAAAAATATTTGAGCTGCATATACAAGAGACAGCATGATAAATGACATGTGCAGCTAAAGCACTTGGTTTTATTATTTCTGAATTTTTAAGGAAAAATTTAGATCTCAAAGAGTATGGTCTGCAGTTTCCATGATGTGCTGTAACATCTCTCTGAAGTCAATAGGCTTTTGTTGATACTGTGAGGTTTTGACTCATGTCCTTACTGTAGTGTAACCTTCTTAAGTATGTTTTTATTCATTCCCAAAAAATCATTACACTTTTCAGAACAGGAAAAGGCTGCTTAGCCTTAACTTCAGAAGGTTTTGCAAGACCCATATGATTGTAGGGACACTGGAAGCTGCGGTAGATCCTTGGGAATGTAATAATTTAACTCCCAAATGAGGGCAGCTACAACAAAATTGGGAGCTAGGATTCTTCCGATACCTTCATCTCACAAGAGTGGCAGCTTTTTTCCCCCCCCCCCTTGATCCTACCTCCATTGTGGGAGGTGAGATTTCCTTGGAATCCAGTGTTTAACATAACTATGGTCTAGAGAGTAATTATTCCATTTAAGTGGGGCTAGTAGAGTGGAACTTATTTTATAGTTAAGTGAAATGAAACTTTGCTGAGAAATTTAGTGAAATGGATCAAATTGAAAGGTTTTATTTTTCTAAATGGAACTGTAGCACAACCAAATATTCCATTATGGTCTGGATAAAACAGTCTCTTGGAAAAATGTAATGCAGGAGGCTCAGAATTGTAATTCTGGGCGATTCTGAGGTATCTTGTTGGCAGAGGGAACAAGTGACATGGTGCAGCATCCAGTGTGAATGTCTTGGGACCTGTGAAAAAATCCCCACTACTTCCTTTCTCTTTTTGCGGATAGCAAAGCTTTCTTAAGAGCTGTATCTTCCTCCCATTCCTACTGCTTGGGCACATCCACATGAGACGGTTACTGTGGAGTAAACTAATTAGCTTCACAATAAACATCTTGGCATCTATACGTGCAGGGGTATTAGGGTGGAGTAAATTAATACGCTCTGCATCAGGCTAGCATTTGTAAATATAAGTACTATCCTGATGTGGAGTTTTTTACTTCGCAGCAGTGCGTGTGTAGATGCTGACCCAGCTGGCTGGGTCAAAGGAGTGCTTCAGTGTGAGGGCTGCCTGCCAGCTAGCCCCACACTGGAGCACCATTGTGCCCCAGCCAGCCCCTCTGTGTTGAAGCAACCCCAGGCTGGTAGGCTGCCCCCCTGGGTTTCCTGCCAGTCAGGGCTGCTCCAACCCTGCTCAATGTACCGTGGCCCCAGGCACGTGTAAAAGTGGCACCTGGGAGCAATAAACTCCAGTGTGATAAGCACCAGAGTTTATTGCATTGCATTAATATGCATATGTAGACATGCTCCTTAATAGGAAGAGATAGTAAGGAACAGAGTTGTGCAAAAATTCTTGCTGGTGAAGTCTTTGTTAATTTCTGCTGGAATATTCCTTAGGGATAGCATTGTAGATAGCAGTTCTCCTTGGCTGCTTTTCCCTTCAGCAGGTCACACAAACCCAAAAACATCTTGCTTCTGAAGAAAAGTTCTCTGTGGTCTTGAAAATGGGTAGCTGCAACTTTAATTCCCTTCTATGGTTTTAAGGCACAAGGCCAGGATTTCTTTCTTTCCTCTCTGCAACACGCAGCAAGAAATAATATAAATAATACATTAGTCTTAAGTTGTGAATGAAATTCTGCCTTGTTAATGATATTGTTAAATTTTGCTTAAACAGAGATTGTGAACCTGGATAAAATCATGGGACAATAAACATTTTAGTGAAGTTTTGCCAGTGAAATTTTGTTTCAATTTATACATATTTCCTGGTGGAAGGATATTTATTTTTGCCTGGAAGGGCATTTAATTCTGTAGGGGAATACCTTTTTCTTTTCTGCCCCACATTTTAAAAAAAATGGTGGTAACATTTAGAGTGGCAGTATCATCTGGAGTTGTAATCTACATCAGAGCCTCTTGTCTGAAGCTTCCGTGTAAACATCCTTTTTTACTCTCATACACGTTTGTTGTCTTTTGTTGTAATTTCAAGCTAGATGGCTCTACGCCTTGTGAGTAGTATGGTTCATAGCCTGGCATGGTTACTTATAACTGCTGTAGTATATAAATGGCTCTGGGCTCTTAAATTCAGGTTTTATCTGGTGAAAGAGAGGATATAAGTGAAGGTTAGTGAGTGGCACCTAGATAAATTATAAGGTAAGGTATAAGACCTGATACTGTAGGTATTTGACATGAAACACTCCTAATGGAATTAATGGGGTTGCACATGTGAGTAAGGAGGTCTGACCCTTACTGCACTAATAGAATTTGTAATTGGAGCAATTGATAAATGGTGTAAAAATGTTTTAAAAATTCCTTTGTAGGAGCCTGGTGTCTGAAAATTAAAACGAGTGATGCAAGATTATCACTTAGAAAAGTAGTTGTTTTGTCTTTAAAACTTAAAGTACATGGGGATATAGGGATTATGTTCAGATTGTCCTAGCAAGTTATTTTAACTATACCTGTTATGTGCTTAATTGTTCGAAGGAACAGTTGCAAGCCACTCATGTGTAGAAATGTTTCATGTCCAGTTGGACATTTTAACTGTCTTGATAGTCATGTAAACAAAGCCCAGAAGTTTTGACTTTAGAGTTCACCAAGGTGTAAAATCGGCTACTTATTTCTTTTCTCTCTCTTAGCATGCTTGTATTTTATCTGCAAAGCTTTGGAGAAAGACTGTCAATACAGCAAAGGACTGGTTCTTAAGGAGAAGATCTTTGAGGAGCAACCTTGCCTCAGGAAGGACTCCCTTAGGATGTTTCTCAAGTGGTGAATGTCATCTGTAACCGTTCTGTGGTTTATTACATTAGAAGTTTAGGCAAGCTGTGATCCAGTAGAGCCAATGAGATGCAAAACTTTTTAAGCTAGTCATTGTGTTCTTTTTTTCTAATAAAAACTGTATTGATCTCCTATACTATATGTTCCATGTATCAAGTTATTAACAAGAGAAAAAATTCAAACTTTGTTTATTGTTCCCAAATTATTTGCCTACGCAGACCTTTTGTTACTGCTAGGAGCCCCATGCTCTGCGTATTCTTTTAAAAGGCTTCCTTTTTTATATCAGAAACATTCTTAATTCTGACTTTTCCAGGGATTTATAACCTTAGACTAGACACAACTCTGCTTGAAGTCCATAGAAAAGTTACTTATGACTTTAGGAAGAACTGGATATGTTCATTAAGCTTTGTAAGCTTCTGCAGTATCGGAGATGCAGAAGTTCTGTAAAGCAAGGTTCTTTGGGTAGATGCGGTATCTTTTATTAGGCCAACTAAATAGTTGGAAAAAAGTTCTTTGCAGGCTTTCAGGCACAAGCACCCTTTTTTAGGCATTGAGAGACTCTCCTGTTGTTTTGAGTTCTCCAAGGTAGGAAAAAAAAGCTAAAAGTGTGACAAGAAGTGAACGTGTAAATAGGTGGAAGTTTGGAAGACAGTGGGTAGAGATAGGGGAGAAGGGGAAGTGGGGTGGGTGGGAGTGTGTGAAGGAATGCAAATGGTTAAGCTTCAGGCAGGTATCTGATGAATCAGATGTCAGGCAGACTGTAATGTCATAAATCCAATGTCTGTATTATATTAAGTCCATGATTTTTTGTATCCAGTACACTTGTGAAGTGAAGTTCGTAAGCGTGTTTACAAAAGGTGTTTTGTAAGTTCCCTTTAAGGATTAGAACTGAGGGAGTGATTGTCTTGTGAGAAATGGGTACCCAAAGTAATCGGATGTTTTTGTCTTTGATGAATTCTTGGTGTGTGTTCATTCTGGTACGCATAGTGTGGTGTCAGAATGAATGCACACTGAAGATCCATTAAAAAACAAAAATATCCAATTACTTGTGGGTGCATACTTCTCGCAAGACAATCACTCGTTCTCCGAGTGGAAGTGACAAAACACCTTTTTGTAGACGAGCCAAGAATTTAATTTCATAAATCTACTGGATATAAAAAAAATCATGGACTTGATATAATACAGACATTGGATTTATGACACATTACAGTCTGCCTGACATCTAATTCACCAGGTACCTGCCTGAAGCTTAACCATTTGCATTCCTTCACACATTTCCTCCACCCTCACCTCCTATTTCTACCCGTTGTCTTTCAAGCTTCCACCTATTTACATTTTTACAGACTTCTTGTCACACTTCTGGCTTCTTTTCTACCTTGGAGAACTCAGAACAACAGCAGAGTCTCTCAATGCCTAAAGAAGGGTGCTTGTACCCGAAAGGTTGCAAAAAACTTTTTTCCAACTATTTAGTTGGTCTAATAAAAGATACCACATCTACCCAAAGAACCTTGCCTGCCTATGTCCTTAGACCAACTTGGCTACAACCAACAACCCTGCAGCATGGAAGTTCTGTAAGATTATTTGAGTGTCCAGTTTATTTGTATTAACTGTGAAAATTACTTTTAAATTTCAGTTACAATTTTTATATTAACAATTTTTATTTATTATTTATATTGCAATAATGTTTAGAAGCTATAACAAAATTTGGGATCATGTTATGAAAGGTATTCTACCATGCCCCCGTCAGAGTATGCTGCACTTGAAGAAATTACAATTCTAACAGATAAGAAGCAGTCCTATAGAATTCAAGTACTTGCCGAAATCATAAGCACATATGTGGCTGAGACAGGACTTCTTAGTTAACACATCATTAAAGTCAAGAAAATCAAAATTAGGGTTTTGATTGTTTTGCTTTGTGTACCTCCCTCCCCAAAATGGCTCAGGGTAGCTTGCAGTAAAATCTTACAAAAGAAGATAAACAATGATAAAATAATTCCCCAAAGCCGACCCCAAATCTTTAACCCTATGCAGTAGACCCCTGCCCAAATGAAATAGTCTAACTTACTCCCATTGTGTCTGTGTAATACTTAATATTACTCCGTAAGTGGGAAATATAAGTAGAGTATCTTGATATTTGCATGCTACAGGGTCAAATCTAATTGGGATGAGAATCTTTGTGTTCCTATATTTCTGTGATCAGGCATTCAAATTAAATTTTGGATCTTCCTGGATTTTGTGCTCTATGTATCCTGCAAAATATGTAACAGGAAGTGCTGTGGACCCTCCAAATGGCCCCAGGAGTTTTCTTAGTTTTCTGTGGAATGTTGGGGTAGTCATTTTAAAATGTCATGGTATAGGGCATAGCAGATTGTGGAATATACAGTCTCTGAGCACGTGAAGCTAGATTTGAAAGTTAACTTTTTCTGAATATACAGAAGTCTACTTAAAGAGACAGGAGCACCTGCTTGGGAATAACAAGATGGCTCCTAAACCTGGTAGGTCTCCTTGTGATATCAGAGGAGGAACATAGCTGTTTAGTAAAGGTTGCAGTGCAGAAGAGGCTGGAGAAAAGGTAATGTTGCTTTAACGCACTTGACTTGGACTTATGACATGTGAGTGTTTTAGACCCAGACTTCTGGTTAATTATGTGGGTCCCAGGTATTTTTCAAAATTATCAAAAAATTCATTTTTGGACTTGGACTTTTCAGCAAAAGCATCAGAGGCTGAAAACTGAGTCAGTTGAAACAGAAGCTTGGAATAAGATGTTACCATAGCATTGTTGCAATAGCATTTCTTTTCCTTCTCAATTTTCGCTTTCTGAAAGAGCATAGGCTGCCTCTTACCTTCTCATTTTTAGAGTGAACAGTGGTTTCTAGTAGTGAATAATTTTACTTGTGCTTTTAGATATCTAGTTTGCTGTCTTTGGGGACCACTTTATATTAGAGAATAATCTCAGGTAAATCACTTACATTTTTTATTTTTTAAAATATCTAACTAACATCTCCCTTTCTCACATGCTTCTCAGTGACATGTCAATCCATGAAGTGAATGTGAGTGCAGCTGAAACAAGAACAATCATAGATGAAGCACTGGAGCTACGTAAGAAGAGGCAGGCTCTAATGGTGCGAGAGCGAGAACCAGATCTTAAACTTGTTCAGCCAATTCCATTTTTCACGTAGGTCCTTACTGTATGTCTGTTTGTATTATTGGATACCTGTTTACACACTGATAGCCATAATGCATTGACATCTCTTCTGCATTTTTTTTTTTCTTCAGTAATATTTTGTATATAATTTATTTTTAAAAGTTCCAGTAATCTATAAATACCCTGGCACTAGAACTGTGCGAATCTTCAGTCACTGATTCAATTCAGCCTGATTTGGCCACCGAATATCCAAATCCGAATTGAATCAGGAGACCCATTAATTTCTCCAAATTGTATTGGAAGCCTCTGCTTCAATTCAGCGAGATTTAACAATTCAGCCATAAACACAGCTTCATATGGCTTTTCTATGTACCTTGAGGTACCAGGCACAGCTTGTGAAATGCTGAGATGGTGGACGGGAGTGCGGCGGGGGGGTCCCCTGCATGCTTGACAGCGGACCTGGAAGTGGACCAGAAGTATATCCAGGTCTGCTGCAGAGTGCACAGGGGGACCCCGCCACCACTGCCACCCTCCAGCTCAGCGACTGGTGCCTCCTGGGTCCGGGGGGTGCACCTGAGGTCCCCCTGCAGCTGACTGCTGAGCCGGGACAGCAGACCTGGAAGTGGACCGGAACTATTTCCAGTCCACTTCCAGGTCTGTAGCTCAGTGCTCAGGGAACACCCCCCTCCCACCCCACAACCCCTGGCTATTGTGGGATGCTCCATCCATCCCATCATCTCAGTGTTCACAAGCTACCTGGTACCTCGAGGTACATAGAAAAATAACTTATAAAGCTATGTCTATGGTCAAATCTCTCCGAATCAGAATCGAATCTTCAGATTCAGATTTGGCTGAATCGAATCAGGACAGTGATCTGAATCGGTGAATTGAATCACTGTCTTCTGAATCAGACTGAATCTGAATCAAATACTGCCTGCTTCTCACACCCCTACCTGGCACTACTTTTTTATAGATTTAAACTGACGTGCATCAGCTTTAACCTGCTGAACTGTTGAATTGGAGCAAGTATATATTGGCAGTCAGTTTTGGAATTTTCGTGCTTTAGTTGATTTGCATGCAAATTAACTCTTCATTTTTAATTTTGGTATTTTTACCAATTGGATGATGATAACTTGTAAGACTTACTAATCTACAACAGAGTTTAGTCTGCAATCACATAGTCTAAAAAAAATTGTTAGATTCTTTCTTGTGTGTTAAACTCTTTTATTAAGGACTTTGGTGATCTTACTTAGCTAATTCTTCCACCCTTAGTTGCATCAAATAAGAGTTTGCTCTTTAAGAAGTCCCCTGGCAGAACATGCTGATTGTGAATAAGAGTAACAAAGTTTTGTCTTTCATGATTGAGTATAATAGAGGAGCTAAAAGTGGTTCAAGCTAGGTTAACTTTTATGTATTTCAAGTACAGTGATTTCCCTAGCATTTGATGTCTTTGAATTTCATTAATGCCATCTTTGAGGCATATCAAAGTCCCATTCCCCTGTTCCCACAATGACTGTGCTTGTTATGACAATGTTGATCCAGCTATTTGGTTCAGAGGTAAGTTTTTTTTCAGAAGGGAAGTGAGCTCTCTGATGACTTATTCCAGAACTGATACTCCCAGTGGTCCATGTGACAGGATACTGAAAACAGTATTCCTCAGCTTCCCCAGATGCAGAACGGATTTTTACTCTGGGAAGAATCTGTTCCTCTCAGGCTGATATATTCCCTTTTGGTAGACTTAGTAATTCTAATCCCCTTGAGCAGAATACTTTTAACATAATTACTACAGGCTGCAGTGAAAAGGTTTATAACTGTAATCTAGAAGGTTTTATGCCAAAAGCTGATACATTAATGGCTAAATTAAGTACTAATGAGGTTGTGATACTTTTGTGTTTTCACATGCAGATGGAAGTGTCTAGGAGAGAGCTTACTTGCCATGTATCACCACTTGACAACCTGTGAACCTCCTCGACCCAGCCTGGGGAAGAGAATTGACCTCTCAGAGTATCAAGACCCAATCCAGCACTTGGTTATTTCTCCTACTTCTACTCCTGTCAGTGTTATCCAGGCCAATCCTGTCAGCACTAATCCAGTGGTTACAATGACAGATCCAGTATTAACTTACATTCCAGTGACACCCCATTTTCCCAGTCACAGTCAGAATTTATTGGAATCAGTAGCTCCTGTAGGTGAGCAAGGTACTTTAGTCTAAGTTTTCAAATATGATTGTTGCCTTTAGACATTGGGGCAAGGGTGGGCAATTATTTCAGGCAGAGGGCCACTTACTGAGTTTTGACAAGCCATTAAGGGCCACATGACAGGAAGCCAGGGGGCAGATAAATATTCATTTTCTACATTTTTAGGGGCCCTGTGGGCCAGATAGAATGGCCTGCTGGGCCACATCTGGCCTGTGAGGTGCATTTTGCCCACCCCTGCATTAAGGACACTGAACTGTTGTTTTGGAAATGTTGTTTTCTAAATGGTTTCCTGCTGATTCAAAATATTTCCAGTGTATTTATAATACAAGGCAAAACAAGGGGAAAGTTCAGTGGTATAAGGCTATAATTTCAATAGAAATAGCTACTCTAGAAAATTGAAAGTTATCCAAATCATCTGCATAGCCCTGGTTAATAATTGAGACATTTATAGTCAGCAGATCTGGGCACCATCTATCCGTCATGATTGTAGTAACCATCACTGTACTATCGAATCCCTTTTTATTCCTGTCTCCTAGTGATTCATAACACATTTTCTTCATCTGTAAAATGAGGCTTATGTCTGCCTCGCAGGGATATTGGCAGGCTTAATTTGTTAAGATTAGTTATGTACCTTCTAGTCCTCAGATGGAAGAGTCTGAGAGAGAGGCAAGATATTGTTACTTTTAAAAAAGATAAGTTGAGGTTAGTTGCTTGTTTCCCTAATTCTTTGATTCAGCATATGAGTATAGGAACTTGAGAGGGTCAGGTTGGCCGATGTGTATGTTTGTAGTTAGTGTGTAGTTAACTATATGGTATATTTTTTTTATCTTAGTAGTTATAGCTCATAATGTTACCAGTATTTGGTTGATTGTCACAGGTTCTTGCAGGTATTGATAGAGGGCAGGCTTCTCTGCTTTCCTTCAGGACTACAGAAATTATGTAAGAATGAAGAGAAATTTTTCAAGTAGCTCACTTTGTTCAGGCCAATATTCTGCATCACGTTTTGTCCTGAAGAGAAATTTCCAGCTGGCCTTTTTTTCTGTCTTTGAATTAAATTACTACTGTGAATTAATATAAGAAAACAATACATGATCTTTTCTATTATTTTTATGGAAAGTCTTCCAGTATTCTAATTCCCATTTGAAATTAATACAGATAGTGCTACTTGCATTCAGTAGGAACAGAATTGTGTCTTTGGGTGTTACCAGAGAATTAAAAAAATTTAAAACATCTGCCAAGTATTGCTCCAATAATATCCAGTATTACTCATTTTGAACCATTTGACAATTCCACTTTTGAAGCTTTTTGACGTTGTTTTTTAGGTGACACATCTGCAGGTGATAAATCTAAAAAAGGGGTGAAGCGAAAGAGAATCACAGAAGATAGTGGCGAAACAGCAAAAAGGCGATCTGCTAGAGTACGAAACACCAAGTGCAAAAAGGAGGAGAAAGTTGACTTTCAAGAACTATTGGTGAAGTTCCTTCCTTCCAGGTACAGTAAATCATCACTGGCATTGTGTTACATGAGAGCTAGAGGTTAATAGGAAGAGCTAATTGGACTTTAGGTTGACCAGCTGGCATCTACCAGCCTCTTCATGGATCTAGAGCTGTGTTGCTTATTGAAAGAAATGGGACTTCAGTATTCTTTTGTAGATGTTATTAAAAGTATTATCTTTTTTTAATCCTAAACTAAAAAAGGCCAATAGAACTACCAAGTCAAAATAAAATTAAAGTAAAAGCAATAAATCAACAAGTTAGTGGAGGAATTAATTTGGCATTAAACTAGCTAAATTACCCACCATTCAAAATACAGATTTGATTGATTTTTATCAAATTCTTTATTTAGGAAATCAAACCATACAGCTGTATTTGAACTGTCTTAAAATTCACAGGGATGAATTATTTTTCATATTAGAGTATCTTACTTGTAAAATCAAATTGTCTCATATCTGGAGCATAACTTCAGAACTGTGTATAAAACTGATTTTTTTTTTTTTATATATTTCTGTTCATCTCACTTTTGTCCCACCCTTGTTACGTACAGACTTTACCAGAACAATCCTAATAAATAAAAATTTAATAACTCTTCCTTACCAGAAATTACAAATTGCAAATTCCAAATTTCTCAGGGCTTGTGAATATAAAACATGTGCTAATGAATAGTTTAATCAAGCAATGTTTGGAGAAGCTAGATTTTACTTGTGGAGCTTTCCCTAACTGGATTTTATGGATGCTTAGGGATGCTTTTGTGCATGCAGCTATGCTTTCTCTGTCTAACTATAAAAAGGCTAATACGATGGACATCTTCAGGGGCAACCAGCTAGTATTGCCAGAAGACCAAAACAGAGAAGAATATACCATTTAAGATTACAATAGAATTGGAAATTTTGGTTCTTGTAGTGTTCTGGAAAGTCAGCACCCCCAACAACATACATTGAAAGGTGGTCACCTCAGACTGGGGAGCAAACCCAGCTACATTCTGAACTACTGCTATTGCCTTGTGTTATTCCATTGCAGAGTATGTGTGTCCAGTATGGGAACAATCGGTTCATGTCAAGAAACTAGACCCAGTTCTAAAAACAGATGTCATGAATTAACAGGACATCTAAATCCAACACCAAATGATAGCTTTTACTTACTGGCTGGCATTGCAGCATCTGATATCAGAAGAAACGTAGTGAGCCAAAAAGAAAGATCACAGCAGATGGAAGATCCAAGGCATCCACCCTGTGGTCACACAAGTAGCTAAATGACTTGAAGCACAAAAGAGTTTTGTGACTAGTGTTGTACCCTTAGTCACGATGGCTGTGACTGAGGTTATAGAAGGAAAGATTCTGTGCAATCAGGTGCCCTGAAATGGACCTGGAACCCCAGGAGGAATTTCCCAGAGGGCCTGTGACAGACTGGTCAACATGGCAATGCCTGAACTGCCTGTATACTCGAACTGGAAGATCAAAAACAAGCATGATCAAATGGGGCTACTCTAATAACACAAATATATGCAAGTTTGATGAAGTGCAGATCATGAAGCACCTGCTTGTTTGCTGACTCCTTGGTGAGACCTGTATGAAGCAGGACCTTCCTGCAGCAATGAAAATCTCCATTGCTTGTGCATGATTCTGGAAAAAACATCTAGTTTATGACAAGGTCATGGGAAGAAGAAGTGTTCTGGAACTCTAAATCAAGGAACCAGAAAATGATGTTCTGCTGGCCCAATGCTTCTACCTAGTGAGCTTCCTTTCATTTGAGAAGGCTGGTTGTTGCCGATTTGACCTTTTTACAAGGTTGTCAAGCTTCAGGATTCTGCAAGGCTAGTCTTTCCTCTTCCAAACTTAAAAGGTGAGGTTCTTGGGCCTCATCTTGGAACTCAACATTGCCAATTATCTCTTGCATTGGCTCTGTCTCAAAGGTGCGTGAACATATAAGGTGCAAGACTTGCCTTGGAGACGTGCATCTTGGTCTAATTATCTTTAAATTTTTGGTCCTAGGCTAGCATCCTTTTAGGCAAATGGAAGCATAGATCCAAATAGCTTGTCTTCCAGAATCAATATGTTAATAAAAAGAAAAAAAAATTGTAAAGCTGATAATGATGAAAACCATTTCAAGGACAACATTTTAGTGTTCATAGAAATTAATTGCTTTCAGATATAATTTTTCTAGATGTTTTCTAGAAAAAAGCAGAAGCAAACCATGAATTCTTTTTGCATGTTTAAGAAATGAAAATGATGTAAACTTTTATTGCTGTATTTCTTCTGTTAAGCTATACATAACTTGGCATGTTTTACTGCCATTTTTTACTAAAATTCCTTTTTTGGAATTTCACAAATATTTATTTATTTATTTATTTTGGTCCTGTTTTCTTCCACCCCACCCTCTAGGATTTCAGTGATTTCTAGGATTTCTGCAATTATGCACGTGTCCGGGCTGGTTTGCACAGGGCTGATCCTGCCTCAGGCAGGGGTTGGACTAGATGTGACCTCTGCAGCTCCCTGCCAGCCCC